TCAAGTAGTAGTAAAAGAGTTAAGTCTTATCCAAAGAGTCGTTCATTGTTTCAACATTTGATTATTTTGCCATAAATATAAGTTATTATTTTACTTCCTAACTATTTTTAGGATCCAATGACATCGGCAAGAATTGTATCAAAAAAGAAAAATAGAAGAAATGGTTAATTTTTTTCATGTAGTTAATATCCAATGATTATCTATATTTACTGAGAAAGTGTAAATTTTAAGATTATTTACATACAATTCAAATAACTTAAATATTTGACATGATTAATGTCCGCGCATCCGTGCGGGTACTAATACTAGTTGAAAAAGAAAAGAGGAAAATTCTTTGAAAATAAATGATACTTTCTTCTATTTTTCATAATGTTATGTTCAAATAAACAAACTAAGGAATTTCAAAAAAAAAAAACAACTAAGGAACTTTTGATTTCTTTTTTTTGTTGTATCTTTTTTAGAAAACATAATGTTTGATTTTCTTAAATCAAAAGAATTTTAAAAGGGAATTACGTAAAAGTATTGTTTTAAGGCTTCTTGCAAAATATAGAAATTTCGGCCTTAACGTATAATTTTGAATAGAATTTGAAAATTGATCTTTTACTTTATGTAGTTCTCTTTTGATTCTTTTACCAATTTAAATTTTTTTCGTCAAATAAATAAAAATGCTAGATAAGTAAGAATAACTAGCATAACAAAGTGGACGAGATAATCGGCTCATTTTCTTGTTAATATCCCTAAACTTAAGGAAATGAAACAGAATCAATCCATAAAGATACTCATCATGGATCAAATGCTCATTCCCACAAATTAAAACTGTAGACTGATTTACAGTTTCACATCTCCCGACTTCTCTCTCATAAAAAAGTGACTATGTTTCTTCAAAACTCTGCCACCATTGACGGTTTCACGAAAGATCTATAGGTTTGTCTTTCTTCTCTTTTTATTTAAACTCGTTAGTCTTCTATGTTTTTCTGTTGATGTCATGTCTTTGACTATCTTTTTTCTCTGACAAACAAGGTCATGCCTTCACCAATATGAGGCTCTTCAAGCCAAAACATGGGCGAGAGACAGAGCCAAGCAAGAAGAGATCCGTGGCAAACAGAAAAAGAAACTATGCAGTCAAAAAAGATGTTCAAGAATCTAAAGATTTTAAATTGAGAAATGGTGAATGTATTAAGTGTTAGATGCAGTCTCTTTATGTTAGTTGGGGATTTGAGACTGAAATCTTTGTAATATACAGGGTAAATGTCATGTTTTTACTCCTCTACTCATATTTTTGTGTATATATTTTTAATCCTCATCTTTGTATTCCCATAATCCCAAATATTGTAACTAATCCTCTATGAGAAATAAAGATTCTGCAGTTTTTAACAATTTGTCCTATAAACATTAAAATTTGCAAAAAATGTATTATATTCAATTATAGAATATTCATTATTATTTATAAATTCTAAATATTAAAATAATCTATTTATCTAAAAAATGGCAAATAGTACCAAAACCTATATAATCATCGCCAAATACCTTTCGGTCACAAATCGTTACAGTTTTCTAGACAAACAAATTTGTCTTTAATTTCATACATTTAGGGACGAAAACGTTTTGTGTACAAATGATAATCTTTTTCTTTAAAATTTGCATATCTTCAGTGACAAAATCACATTTTTCAACTACAAATTAGATACCACTTTAGAGACAATTAGAATTGTCACTAATCAAGATAAAAATTAGTGATAAATTTGTTTCGTCGGTATTAAGAATTTATTTAGTGACGAAAGTTATTTCTACTACAAAAAAGTTGAAGTTTTTCTGACAAACAAATTCGTCACTGATTTAATATATTTGGGGACAAAATAATAAATTTGTCACTAATGTAACGTCATTTAGCGACGAACCACTAAATCGTCTTTGTAAACTTTTAGTGACCCATTTATGGCTACGAAGAATTGATGAAAAAAATTTGGTCAGAAAAGATATTTAGTGACGAAATAAAGCCTTTCAGTGACAAAGACATTTGTTGCTATAAATCAAATTTGTTGTAGTGTAGGGGATTGTTGGGTTTTTGTTATTATTTGTTATTTATAACAAAAGAGGTATGAATGGAAAATGGTGGGAAAAGAAATGGAGGGAAGTGAAATTTTGAATTAGTTCACTTTACTAATGCATTTTGTCCCTCATTGATAGAAGGAAAGAAAATCTTTGTGTATATATAGAGAAACTCATTTTTTAGCTCTTAAAGAGCTAAGAAGAAGGCAAGCCTTGCGCCGTCGTCGTCGCTCGCTCGACTCGGCTTTGATCAATGATTGATTGATTAATCTTTTTGGACAAAATTCTTTTCAAATATTTAATTAATTAATTAAATTAATTAACGAAAATTCAATCCGGAATAACCCATGACCCGCGATCCGGTCCGGTCCGGTCCGGCTCGTTTCCCGAATTATTTTAAACCCGTTTTAATTTTTCTGCAATATTTCCAGCAGCTATGGCTGTTCTGAAACAGTGTCAAACTTGTTCTAACAGCTATGGATATTCTGAAAGATTGCAAACCTTTTCAGAAACAATACCAAATTGGCTATAAATATTCCTTCAAATCCCAGAATATTTACTTCCGAAATCTTCTGATTATCTTCTTCTTCTGCACAAAAATTCCAGTGTGTTTTACAGCCTTTGAGTGGTTCGCTGTTCATCTGGATTTTTGGTATCGATACGCTGGTGAGTTAAATCGTTCTATCCTGGGAGGATATATTCCAGAATCTCGGGTACTTGAGGGGAATAATTTCCTAAAGGACACAATGTGTATTTAGTGGGCTCGATTTATTCCTATACTATTTTTCAGAATTTCTTTTGAAATTACCGTACTGTTTTCAGAACTTATTTCTACTAACTTTCTGTTGTGTTTTCAGAAAATTTATTATTTTATTAATTTTACGGCAATACAAATTTCATTAACACCTTTTGCCTTTTGTAGTAGACATTTATTGTCAGTTAGTACAGGAGGTTACCATTTTCAGACTTCTATGTCGTCAAATGGAATAGTATTCATTCATGAACGTTATTAGCTATCTATTCTTCTTTGGATGATTTAACTTAAATCATTTAAGTCGTGAATTCTTTTTTCCCGAAAACGCTCTTGCTTCAAATGATTGGCAAAGAAAAGCATTTAAAAGGCTTGCTAAATCATAACTTAACATTATATTATACCTTAGTCGCATCCTTCCCCAGAAACATTTGAATCGGGAGGAAAGCAAACGGCCTTTTCAATTTGCCTGCCTTCTCTTTTTCCTGTTAAGTCTCAGGTATTCTGCCGTATCAACAATATAGGACTAGTATTATATCTTTCAGAATTAACAACTAACAGAGAAGCAGTCGTCACATATTTTGAACTATGTGACAATCGTAAGTAAAAGCTTAAGCGGTAAGAAAAAAATATTTTTATTTATTTGAGATTTGAACTCAATACTTTTAGCTGCTCTACTACCATCTTAAATTGCATGATCATCTATCTTATCAAAAAATTTAAATTGTTAAAGAAAACTAATTTTTCTTTATGTCAGCAACAAATATTGAGACATAATTTAATTAACTAATTAAAACGGTATGTCCTCTAACATCTTAAAATTTAAAATGAGGTGATCATATACTGTATCTTGTTAGAATTAGATGTCATAATAAATTCAAATCTTATTGCCACCCGAAAAGCAAAAGCAATTAAAGGACCACAAAACCATTAGAAGAAGATACAGTGGTTTCCATGCACCATTGTCGTCGGATCTAGGACACCCTGAGGGACTCGTGTACAATTCCTTTTAATCTGATCAACAATATGCAACTAAAATATACAATGTTATAGGCAAGGCCATGGTCATAGATCGACACGTGTTACATTGTTTTTATAAAGATATTGGCAATATTGTTTATGAAGGCTCAATAGATACTGAAAAACAACAAAATTAGTAAGTGGGTGACCATGTGCTCAAAGCTAGCTAGCAAATTTTCTCAAAAGAAGACTGCAAGATCTGAAAGGACACGTAACCCATTTCTTAACCATCTAAGATGTTCTAAGTCTGATTTACTCTTTAATTATCTACTACTTTAATTGATTACAGCCATTTGTTTAAGCATAGATTCTCAGGTCAAGCCTACACAAAACCCAATTAATTAGCTGTTTCTTGTAAATATTTGCTTTTAAATGTAGCGAGTAATATTTCTTTATATTTTGTTTAGGTGGTGCGTGGAACTTTTCCCCTCTCTCTCTCTTTTCTCTTTCTCTTTTCTTTATCTCCAATGAAAGTAGAGTAATAAACTATAGAACTTGCCTTCCAATGGCAAAGCAAAGCCTCCCTTCTTTATGGATTTCCCTTTAGGAATTTGACTATGTACAAATCTTTTTTCTGCTACTTTATCAATAAGTAAAATATGTGCTAGGTTCATTAGCAAAAATAAAGATTGTTCTAGATTAAGCCTTTCATCGAGTTTAGTGGCTCATCAGCACGTGTAATATGAGGCCATTAGCTAGCTAATGGAGCTTAGGGCACTCAAAAAGTCAAAAGTCATAACCTACCTATAGAATGACTCAAATGAAGGCGCTAATTAGGGATTGTCAAATTCTATGGGCGTACATAAATTACAAGAATACACTATTTCAATCCATGCGCGAACAAGGATTTGTAGAATGAAGCAATTCGGGCTCAAACTTAGAGGAGAAAGAGTCAAAAAAATAGAAAATCAAATAGTGAAAGGATTAATTAACATATGTTCGAAGTGTAAGGGTGGAGGGAAACATGGAAAGAGAGTGGGGTCGCAAATTACAACACAAAAACAAAATTGACTATCACTAGCTAGGAGAGAACTATATCTAAAACAGTGATCATATATCTTTCACGAATCTAAAGACACACAGATCCCTACCATGCTGCTTTTTAGAAATAGTTGACATATATATAGAAATATAGTATAGGACTAGCTTGTCTAGGTTCGTTTCCTAATATATAATTATGCAACTTGGACAAAGATTAGCCGCCGATATTTGCATATACATTTGTTACAGAGACACCTATTAGGCTCTCACTGCCAGAAGAAAAAGAAGTTCTCATGAATTAGTTATGTAAATTGTTTCAAATGATTCTTGGTTTGTTTCTTGGTAAAAGCTTATATGAAAGCATGCCGAGCTTTAGCAGAGGAAACCGTATGTATTTATCCACTTTGGGCCTAGGCCGGCACGAATTTAATTTGTCTTTTGAGTTACGCCACATCGAATCCCAAAAGTAGCTCTAGTTACTATGCATGTAAACTTGTGTTATGCCTTATAAAACTCGCTACTTTTCTCTCCTATTCCGATGTGCAATCCGCCTAAAGTAACATGGACACTTCTTCTTCAGAAACTTGTCAGCCTAGAAACCTGTCTGAACCTTCCTCGTCAGCCACCCTCCGTTATAGGCTTCACAGTATCGTTAGATTGTATGGCATCATAAATCAACACTAGAATAACGCAAGAAAACATTGAAGGTTGTATTGAAGATTATTATCAAAATTCAAAGTATTTCAGTTTGTAACTCGATAGTGACATTTTTGTTCAATTTGAGACATATGTGTAAGGAAAACCAATATTTCAAAAGAAATATAGTTCTTTTTGGTGGAAACCTATAAAACGTATAGCACGAAATATAATTTGAGTAAATGGTTGAATGTGCAAATGTGCGGACTAAGAAGCTGGAATAAAAAGGCTGCAAATTTAATTAAGGCATGTTACTACATGCTACTAATTATAAATTAGGACCACTAAAGCATAAAATTTCTCTTTCAAACTAAAGTGGAGGAAAATATTAATTGGCCAACTAAGATGATGGCCATGACACATAACAAAGCTAACTTTGAGATCAATGTCGTACTAATGAAACAATAAACAAATGTTGATGAAGACCATAATCAAGGAACTATTCTGATTAACCAGAGATTATAATGTGCTTAATTCCAATCGTTATTAGGTGTTTAGCATTTATAATACTAAGTCGGAAGATGGGAAACAGAAGCTCGCTTTGTCGGGATAAACATGGCACCAATTAGTTTAAGCAATGTGAACACATTATAATTGATATTAAAATACGATAAGACTCGTCAAAA